AGAAGCTTAAGTGAACTTCAGACAATGTTTGATAAATTGAGTGCATGTATTTTCTTTGATGTATAATTTATAAAGCATTAATTCATAAAGCATCAAAAACACTGTTGAATTTTTCCACATCCGATAATCCAAGTGCTTCATTTGCATTGAATTGGCCCTAGAGCCACTGAAGGGTTCATTTGCATTAAAATCTTTATCTACATTTCCAAAAGCAGAGGAGGAGAGTGAAGGAGAAACCAAGACTCCCTAACAAATGAGCTCTGTATTACCAGATTTTTTTTCTTACAAAATAAGAGTACCAGGAGAGAGAGAAAAGGAAGAAAAAAACCCAACAAAACACATGATTACAGAATCATTGAAGAATACGCTGTCATCCTGAGAAAGGATGAAAATGTTTTTCAGCTTACAGTTTGAAGTGCGGCTGAGACTTAATATAAATAATCAATTCCAATTCAATTACAGTTAGCATTCTTTTACATGAAAGTAGTCTGTAAAAGCATAGTCTACCCACTCTCAACTACTTGGGTATTGTTGTTTGTTTTTGTTTTTTTTGTTGTTGTTTTTTTTTTTTTTTAAATCATAGAATCCTCAGAATTGGATGGGACTCAAAGATAATCTAGTCCAACTCCCCTGCAGTGAACAGGGATATCCACAGCTCGATCAGATTGTTCAAAGTCTGGTCTATTCTCACCTTTTAAGTCTTCAGGAATGGGGCATCAACCACGTCTCCAGTGCCTTACCACAAAAGACTTTTTCCTTACATCCAACCTAAATCTACCCTCTTTGAGCTTGGAGCCACTTCCCCTTGTCCTATCACCACAGATCCTTTCTTTCCTGTAGCTGCCATTTAGATACTGAAAGGCTGTTATTAGGTCATCTTGGAATCTTCTCTCATTCAGGCTGGAACACTCCAGCTCTTTCAGCCTGTCCTAGCAGGAGAGGTGTTCCATCCCGGGGATCATTTTTTGTGGCCTTTCTCTGGAACACTGCAACAGATCTACATCCTTCCTGCACTGAGGACTCCACATCTGGATGCCGTACCTCCAGGTGAGGCCTCACCAGCACAGAGCAGAAGGGCAGAACCACCTCCCATGACTCGCTGGCTGTACTTCTTTTGATGCAGCCCAGGATACAATTGGCTTTCTGGGCTGCAAGGGCACACTGCTGGCTCATGTCTAGCTTCTCATCCACTAGTACTCCCAGTCTTTTTCAGCAGGGCTGCACTCAATCCTTTAATTCCCCAGCTTTTCTTGTTAGTGGGCATTACTTCAACACAGGTGCAAGACCCTGTATTTGTATTTTCGAACCCCATGAGATTCTGCTGGGCCCACTGCTCAAGCCTATCTAGTTCCCTCTGGATGGCATCTCATCCCTCGAGCATGTTGACTGCACCCCACAGCTTGGCGTCATCTGCAAACTTGCTGAGGATGCACTCGACCTCACCATCAATATCACTGATAAAGATACTAGACAGCATTGGTCCCAGAATTGTTCCCCGGGGAACACTACTCATCACTGAACTCTATCCAGGCACAGAGCCACTGACCATCACTCTCTGGATTTACCTCTTTCGCTCAAGCTTGTGAATATTTATTCCTTCCCACTTCAGTGATTAAAATATGTGTGTTTGCATGCATTCATACTAACACAAATATTGTTAAGATATCTTGACCATCCCAGAAAACCTGAGCGAAAATACATTATGTCCTCTATAAAAAGATGGAAGATTTTCTTTTTTAAAATAAAAGGCTAAAAAAACCATAGAAATCAGCATAGCCATGGGAGCTCGTACCTAATGAAGAATTATTTTAGAGATTAAAAAAAGCACAGCAGGAATACTAAGTTGAAGTAAGTTGTCTATAAAGGTAGTAAGAAGAGTCACATTCCCCCACCTCCCTCATGACTTTGCAAGTTTTTTGAACTTTTAAGTTCAAATTCTAAAAATCATTGCAGAGTTCCAAAGATCAGTTTGTATATATGCCTCCATTCATCTAGGTAACAAATGCAGGAAAATGTATTTAGACAGATAAGAGCACAAGCAAACCAAGTGACAATCTGCGTCCTAAAAAAGAGAAAGCAAGCAGTAAATACTAAGCCTCTGGCTTCTGAAAAATCAGACACCATATTCCTTCTCTAACTTGAAGGACTCCATGAGCAAAACCCTATTGCAAATTATTAGCATTTCACTGTTAGGAAAACTTACGATAGAATAATGATTCGGACTTTTAATTTTAGTCATAAAAAGGAGTTTCCAGAACTGACCATCTTTTTCACCACGTTGTGAACTCCCCACTGTTACCATTGATCACCAGCCATTTCTGGAGAGGAGGGAAATAAGAACACTTCTTGTCTCCTTAGTAGCAAGATAGATATTGATTACTTGTCTGAAAGTAGTGCCAAGAACATGTTCTACCACCAAAGACTCCACCAGATCATTACTACTGAAAGCAGCCAACACGTGACTACTGCATGGGGGAAGGAGTAGGGAAAGGGAGAGAAGGAGGTAGCCAGAACTAAAACAATCCCTTGTACTAATTTATTTCTAGTTTAATCACAGAATACAAATTTCAGCTCTTGGTTTCCAGTGTATTCAACTATTCACTTTTTAGTGTTTAACTTGCATAGGTTTTGGTTGGTTTTTTTTTTTTTTTTTTTTCCAAGTATGAAAAAATTCAACATAAAATACTTTAAAAGAGGGATAACAAGAAAAGAAGCTGGATACACAGTTTTCAGGACTTCAAAGCAATAATGTTTTCTTACAGACAGACACGCAGCAGAGATTGCTTGAGGTAAGATATCTTGGTGCAATACCGACTCATCAGAAGTACTAATAAAAGGGCTGACTTGCAAAATAAAAAGAACAAGACTGTATTTTAGTCTAAAAAGTAATTAAGGACAAGATGAGGAACACTAAAACTAGTGAGTTTTAAAGGTGAAAATCCTTTAAGGTGAGACTTACTAAAATCAGTGATTTGAAAAAAATTATGGCAACAACAAATCAAGTTTTTTCTCTGTGATCAGCACTGAAGTCACAAGTTGTACAGAGTGATGGAGATCATTTGTACATTATATAGGACACAGACAACAGCACCACAAGCTTTTCTGTGCCTTTTCACTGAACCCTCAAGAAATGTAGCTGATGGCACACATACAACAACTGGCAAAGAACAGCCTATCATTACTTACAAAGCTTTAAAGCCAGTGAAAAGGGTATGTTGAATGGAATCATAGCTCTTAGAAAAGACTTCAAGAGTGCTGAAACACTGCAGCTTTTATACAAAATAATGAAGTTATGTAAACATAAATCAGTAGGGGAAAAAAAATAGAGATCTTTCAAATCTCCAGCTAAATTTACTTTCCGAACAACAGGATAGCAGAAGGTTGTACTTATTCTTTTCAGGAATAGAGTTTATTTTTTTCAGAGTACTGGATCCATGATGCAAACGGTACCGAGAACGTAGCCGTGTCTTTGCTATTGCTGACCAGCACTTGCAGAATGTCAAGGCCTCTCTTCCTCATGCTGTCCCTTCAGCTCAGGATGAGGTACACGAGCAGCTGAGAGGAATAGGAACAGCAAGGACACCAGACCCAGACTGACCAAAATGATATCCCGAGACAGCATGTTCAGCTACAAAAACTAGGAGAAAGAATGAATTGTGGTATTTGTCTTTCCAAGTAAAGATTCCACATGATAAAACCCTGATTTCCTGAAAATGATTGAACATCTGCCTGCTAATGAGAAGTACTCAATGAACTTTAGTTTGCATTGCTCATGTACACAGATTCTGCTTTGCCTAAACTGTCTTGATCTCAGACCACTAGCTTTCACTCTTTTACCCTTCCAATCCTCCTCCGTAACTCACTGAGAAGGAAGTGGGCAAGCAACTTTCTAGGGCTCAGCTGGCTACTGGGTTTAACCTGTACGTATGATTAACCAGTTCTAAACATTAAGTATTAATAAATGGTTTATTCATCTTTCTATACAGCAATGATTTTTTTTTTTTTTTTTAAATGAAGCATTTCAATGCATCAGATGACTACTAAGCTGCAATCAAGTATTTACAAAGCAGTTCATCTCATAATAGATTCTTAAACCTACCTTCTATATCTGCTAGTTACCAGCTAATGTCTACAAGATCAGTAGTTGGACTTCTGTCAAACAATATCCATTCTCTCTATGGATCTGTTACTATTGCAGCTTTACCAGCTCTAAGAAGCAGTACTAACAGTTCTCCATAAAAGATGAAAACAAAATGGGAACAAAATATATGTAAGATCATCTTAGCATACAAAACGTGGCAAGATTAATGCATTAACTAGCTGTGATATATATATAATCTAGATATTAATATATATATAATAATAAAATAAATCTAGAAATTAAGTCCAAACTATGAACACAGCAAAGTTTCAGAAGAACTTCTCAAAATCAGTAGAAATCTGAAATAAGCAGTGAACTCCCATTGATGCCATATTTCTTATAACATCAAGTTAGTTGGTTGTTCATTATTTTGCACATCAGAACCAGTTTATCGTTCAGATGTTTGTGTTATTATTACAGTCAATCACAAGCTGTCAAAAAAATTAATTTTTGTCCCAGCACAACAGGACAGTGCACTGAAACAAATCCTGTAATTAGAGTACCTTCAAGCAACTGTGAAATTTTTATTGAGTTATTTAATAATTGATGTTATACCTCAACAAGGGAAAAGTAATTCCTACTTCCTGTTATCTTTGCCATTTCTCCCAAACTTCAGCATCATGACTGAAGTGCCAAGGTTCTAAACCCTTTATGCAAACCTTTAGGCACATTCCTGCACCCAGCATAACTTGAATACATACATATTAATGGCAATGACTGCATTTCCATGTACTCCTGGAAAAACTTGTAGGAAAAAAGACTGTCTTTTCCACTTCATTGTGAGATCAAGGCTGAGACAATATAATCCTCTTCCCCACTTCCCTTTTGTTCTCTTATTCAACATAATGACTTTTCTTACCTCAGGGCATTATCAGAAAGACCAAGAGGACTTCTTCCCCCATAAAGTATCTTCAATTTTAAGTTGCACTACAAAATAAAAACTGAGTTCAATCTTTATTTGAACACAGTTAATACTACCAAGTGTTTCAGCATTGCTGTAGTGAGTAATAGCATTCTCACTGCTATTTTGAATCATCCACATTATGAATGAAAACGCAGTGAACTTTCTTGGATTACTTCTACAAGAGAAAAAAAAAAAAAACAAAAAAACAAAAAACAAGAACACAAAATGGAAAACCGAAGGGATTTCAGGTACCAATATGAACAGGATTTAGTGACCTGGGTTACTTATGCAAGTCTCTGAGAGGGTCATTCTTCAATTGAATGAATGACTCTATGCAGTAACTGACACACAGAATGTTCTCATTCCCAACAGTTCATAATTATTTGCTACCTCGAGTTCATTTGGAGAGTGCAGTGTGAGGTAGGCTTGCTGCGTGCACAAGGCCCCAGCACAGCATACAGCCATTTCATCTTCTGTGAGACGCAGCACCTCATACACATGCAAACCCTTAACAAAATACTTCAATTTTAAAACAAGAAGCCATTTATTTGCACATGGATCAATGACGCACAGAGTAAAAAATAAACATTTCCATTTTCTGAAAAAGGAGAATAATTTTAATCAATGAACATACCTAGAGATTTTCTGTCCAAATAATCTGATACAAAGAGAAATTGGTTCTGTAATCATTTATATAGTCCTCTAGGGAAGGAAGAGCTCTCCGAGTGGGCTCCTAGCCTTTCAGAAGCTATGATAAGCTTGTCATAACCCGCTACAAAAGTTACTGTTATCCCCTGCTAGCATACAATATGCAAGAAACATTGTCAGATTGTCTCTAAAAGCATATCTGGTTTTGGTTCACTTCCTCTCCAGTTTTTCCCATATTGTCACCCCAGGTACTTACAGCTCTAACATTTAGGAAGCTCACTTCAAAGCAGGTAAAGCACAGCAGTTTAAAGATTACTACAAAACTTGCAAAGATGCTAAAAGAAAATTTGAGAACACCTTCTCAATAAATCCCTTATTTTCTTAGAAACTCTTCAGTCTCCATCTGTGATAAAACAGAGGTTGTTCTTTGCCTGTCATAGGTAGGAAACTAGTCATGCACCCAAAACACATGATAAAAAAAAAAAAAAAAAAAACCAAAACCACACACCACTCAACTATTGCCCACAGAACTCTGTGCATATCAGTATTCTTTTCCAAGGAAGACTGAAGTGCTACAGAGAAATGTTAAACTGTTTTTTTGATGACATCGCATTACCTCCAACTCTTTCTTTTTTCAACATGAGTAAAATGCTACTACTCAGTTAAAGCCCTTTTACCTTAAGTCTCCTGCAAGATTTAAAAATTGAGACTTTCACCTTCAAGTACTTTGGCAGAATTGGTTGATGCATTCACGATATAGAAATCTCCCAAACAAAATCAACTGAAATACTTAAACTGCACAGAGAAATCTGAAAATACTGAACTGTAAACACCATGCAGTCTTCAGGTTTATCAGATTTACAAAAGATACAAATACAGCAACTTGTGGTGCTAATAGTTCAAAGAACAACTACACAGCAAAGGGGATAAAAACTGATATGTAGCTCACACAGCAGAAACAATTTCATGTACTGTCATTAATTATTAAATGAATGTACAACAGTGAAGGGCAGAACGTTATCAGCCTTGAGAAACAAAAGGTGTGATACTCATGTCTTTTCTTCTCTATTTTTCTTTAAACTATAGAGCACTTTTCATTTACCTATGAAATAAAACCCACTAGTGTTACACTTTTACTCTAGTTCATCTCAATTAAGAGGTTAAAAAGCAGTGTTACTTCCTCTCAATTGCAAATCAACCACAGCCGCAGCACAACACTCTCACTATTCAGTTTTACGTTATTTTCACTCTACATCAAAACATTTGGCAAAATTCTTGTTTTGTTACACTGCAACGTAGCAGGAGATCAGTCACAACATCATGACATTATTTAGCTCATTATTCAGGGAAAACTGACACTCAACCCTTCTTTGTTATGTGCGCAGACAGCAGTGCTAATTAGTTATTTAATAACGGTATTCGTAACCAGGCAGGTTCATCCTAGGTTCCCTTTCTCTGACTAGTGGCTTTACACAGACTGCATGTCTTCGCTGCAATGATCAGAAAGTGAAAATTACAGTTCAAAAGCAGACATTGTCAAAAAATGACATTTTGTACTCAGAAGTATAAAAGCCATTTACATTTAATTAAACCCTACCTTAAACACCACAGTTCTGCTTTGCTGTATCTTGACTCCTACATGTATTTCTTGAAAGCATCTCCAGTTATCAACACCTACTGGAACAAAACAGGAGAACTGTAACAAAAATGCTCTAATTCTGTAACAGTTTAGTATAAGAAGATTCCTATACAATATATCTATTACTAATGAGCTGGGACATATCTGACAGGAAATAAGGTCTTCAAGAACCTGACTTTCTCCGAGTTAGAAATGAGAATAACTCCAAATCTACACTAACATTCTAGATACAAAGAAGCAATCTTTCCACCAGATAAATACCGGGTATCTATACACTTGTTCATAAGATTGATTTTTATTTCTTCAAGAAGAAAAACTTATTTTACATCCTTTCTCTCACACTAATCCCTTACATTTACTCATTCTAGCACTTGGCTAGAAAAACATGTCTTGAAAGCATATCTTCTGGTCTCTATGGCTTATCACAGAACATACCAAATTTACTCCAGCACTTTCATTGACTTGACAAATTGTCAGAAGTATCAAGAGGAGGGGAAAGCAAAACAGTTACAAAAAAAAGCAACAGCTGCTATAAACTCAAGGAACCCCATTTAAATATAGAAACACTTGAATATAATTACTGCACATGTTCTTTAAGGGAAATATAGTTTGTGTGCCATCAGCTAAAACCCAGAGTCAGCCTGAACACTAGCATCAACTGATCTGACTTACAGTCTGAGGTCTAAGCAATGAAAAAAACAGGGAAAGCTTTTTTTAAAAAAATAAAAAATAAAAATAAATGATTATTTCAAGTTAGTATAGATTTCACGTGTAATGGTTTGGACCAAAGCAGAACTAGTTGGAATTTCCCCTCTTGCTCTTCAATATGTATTCTTTTCCAATCAATACTTTATAGCAGAACAACACTGAAAAGAAATGCTCAAATGCAGGTCACCCTGAGCAAGTTGCAAAATCTGTTTGCTTGTTTTATTTACTGTGTTAAAAGCAGCAAAAGCTTCTGAGATCTCCATATAGTTCTTAACAGCCTTTTATTACAATAACAGCATAAATGGATACGCGATAAGACATATTAGAAGGAAACAATTCATTCCCTCTCAGAACAAGAGTTTCAGCAAAGCTGTTACACAGCTGCACTCCTACATTTCATATTCTATATTACTTTCACATACAGGACACCCAAACTAGCTAATGTTATAAAATTCTGAAAGGAATAATCAGTAGAAAAAACATGTTTTCCTAGAGCTTCAAGCAGAAAGGCTTGACAACAGCAAACTATTGTTCACATACAGACCTGTTATAAAAATGAACTTACACAAACAATTAGCATTGCACATCATAGGAAAAGATCAGTTTAATACAACCAAAAAGCCCCTAATACATCACGCAGCTTCCAAAACAAACTGGGTGACAAGCGTTGCAAGCAAATAAGTACAATACACTCATATCTCTTCTACTTCACAGAAATCTCTGCTCTGTACTGTATTTGTTATGTGCAGTATATAATGGTAGTGACACACTGGAACAAGTTGCCCAGAGAGGCTGTGGATGCCCCTTCCCTGGAGGCATTCAAAGGCCAGGCTGGACTGGAAGTTTAGCAACCTGGTCTAGGGGGAGGTGTCCCTGCCTATAGCGGTGGGTTGGAACAAGATGATCTTAAAGGTCTCTTCCAACCCAAATCGTTCTATGATAACATGTGCAGTAACACCCAGAACTCAGACTACCAGACACCATATATACACTTACACATAAGGCAACAAGACAGCTCTTACTATAAAAGCAACATTCTGGACCATATGAGAAAGAGCATTCTGTTGAATTCTTATGGGTTCACAGTCTATAATGATACAACATCACAGTTTTATACAACACTGTCAGTGACTGGGGCTGGTTATGCAAGAACAGATGGAGGCAACAACAGGAGAACATGAGAACATTCACCCCAAAGCTAATTATCAAGAGAAAAATATTTCCACTATGGCAGATAAAAAATACTTCTGCAAAATACATTTGGTATACTTTAAATCAATCTAAAAAACAACTTGTATAGCACAAATTGGATATAATTATTTCAAAAATATATACACCATATATTCAGGATATAAAAAAGCTGAAGATAGTTGGGACAGAATCAAAAGAAAAATCAAACCTACTAGTCCCAGTAGGTATGTCCTTCTAACAAATAATATACAGGTACTTAAGTGAACTGTTCAGAAGACTGAAAACATCTGAAGAAAACATCTAAGTGCACTATTTTTTCTATTTAGAGAAACAATAAACTGTTTCACGTATGATTCCTCTATTGGCTGAATTGCAAAAGTAGTACTACACGGCTGTTAGAACATTTTAACATTTATAACATTTTAAACATTTGTTTAAGGCATTTAATTTGAATACTGAAACTTTGCAGAGTCAAAAGATCTGAAAGATGGTTTAAGGACATCTGAAACACAGTGACATTCTCATGCATTCTTATTTCCTTATGTAAGAGTACTCCATCTCATATATTAGAAAACAGCACTAGATGTGCAATAAGAGTTCACATTGATTATAACACCTGTTACCAAACAGTTGCTTAATTTATTTCACTTCATATATTTCAATTTGCTACAGAGGTTCTTTAAGCACTCTACGTACATTCATTCCCTCATCACTTCACCTGGCAGATTAAAAAACAACAGAACAATGACAAAATGACTATCCTGTTGTCACAGCAGCTTGGAACTTTTTGAAATCTAGGCCAGCATGACGGCTGTTACTGGAGACCAGGTAGATAGATTACCTCATTCATCCATCTGCTCTGTAATGGAACAGAAAGGAAGGGCTGGCACAACTTGTGGTCCACCCACAATTCCTGTACCTCAGACTGATGCTTTGCATGGGTACAGACTATACTGTCACAAGACAGCAAATATTAAAGCAGTACCGAGGTTCTTTCACCTTTAGTTATTTAGAACTCCCAATCCATGGGGAAAAAAAAAAGAAAAAGGAAGAAGTATATCACCCCATGCTCCCTTAGGGCAACAGTAAAAACAAAAGAGAAGGGCAAAACAAATATTTCTGTAGCTGTATTCAATTAACTTTTTAAAATACATTGCAGAACAATTAGCTACTCTACTATTAAAGTTCCAGGTACAAACTCTCAATATGCCTTACCCTTTCTGAAATGCCAAAGGAAGATGTAGGCTTTATTTTGTAGCATAAATAACAATAATCGTAAATAACTTTAAATAACCTTTACAATGCGCTTTAAACCGTGCTTCAGAAGAGGAAAGCCATTCAACACCCTGTACTGAAGTAATCTATCATGTCTACAATTGACACATACTCTGTTTTAACTCTAATAGCTTTCCATGAACCTTTAATTACAATATTGTGATGTGTGTGTCTAAACACTGAAAGAGATACACATCTCAGTGACCAGAATTTCAACAATAAGGTTACTAAGTCTCTGCTCAAGAATCCAGCAGTGCTAGTCACTGTTATATCAGACACTTACAGCATACAGATTTCTCAATGTGAGGGCTGTTCCAAAAGCAATGCCTCCTATTTTTACTTTTTATGTCATTCCACAACATCAGAGGTGGACGTTGGTGGGATGGTAGTAGAGGGTCCTTCCCACTAATACCTCCTTACATTTAGTTACCACGTGACAGATGGCAGAGAAGGGGCAATATAACAAATCAATGTCTGATATAGAAATGCAGATGAAGAAAAAGCATGGAACTGAATTCTTCCATGCAGAAAAAATGGCACCCTCTGACATGCACCAGCACTTGCTGAGCATTTATGGAGAACAAACATTCTGTGTGGGCACCGTGTGGCAGTAGGCGTTGTGCTTCAGCTGTGGCAACAGTGACAGGATGTCATCTCTCCACTGTTGCAGATTTTTCAAGCACAGCATCAAGGTTCTTGTCTATGACTGGAAAAAAATGCATAGCTAATGGTAGTGACTATGTTGAAAAATAGTGTTTTCTGGCTGAGAGTTTGCTCTATTAAAAAAATGTTTGCCGTACTTTTTGTTGCCTTTTTAGTTTCCATGGAAATAAAGAATAAATAGGAGACACTACTTTCAGAGCACTCTATGTATTATAAGCCAAGTAGGCTATTCTGACCATTTTTTATTCAGTCTCCAAAGCCACTCAGACTGAAAACGGCTAAACGGTTAAATAATTGCTCAAGTTTTGCATCTGAAAGTCATATACAGTTACCATTTTTTTTTCCTCTAATTGCATAAAGCATGAGAACATCTTGTTAGGTGAAGCATCATTAAAGCACTCGGATCACATTTGAGGAGAAACCAGCAGCACATGCATATGTGTATTAACAGATAAATGTAGCATTCTTTCCACCTCACCAAATTCCCATCCACCTGCTTGCCTTTCAGTGGTTTCTTCTTCCTGAGGGGCCCATAGATGCAGAAAGAAAAGGATAAACCCAAACAGACCACGGTCTCAATTTAATAATGAGAGGGTATGGAAACTGAATTAATTACTTCAGTGACACTTGGCCCCACAAGGGTGACCCAAATACACAGGGAATTTCATCAACTTCTCTCCATTTAAGTCTTCATCTTTGACTTAAATTTCCTTCTATCTTGTCATCATAACCAAATATCTTGTTCTACAGAGGGTCAACCATTCATGTAGATTTAACTTAAAGCAATTTAGACTGTGCCAGAAAGTTAACAACATAGAAATAACGCATGTATCTCTCAGGAAGCATAATCAGAGCTCATTAATGTGCAAGGTTTTTGGTTTATTTTTTTTTTTTCCTTTTTAATTCATGCTTTTTAATTTGAATTAAAACAAACTTTTCACAGAATCACAGGATCACCAAGGTTAGAAAAGACCTTCAAGATCATCCAGTCCAGCCATCCTATCACCAGCAGTACTCACTAAACCATGTCCATCAACACAAAATCCAAACTTACCAGACTCATCAGATCTTCTAACAGATACCTAACCTAAGCAGCAAACACTTCACTCACTTTACTAGTGAGCAAATTCCACTTTTCCTTTGCATTTTTCTTCACAGAAGTACAAAGCAACACTTCAATAAAAAGAGTGAAAGGAGA